TTTATTTTATTTTATTAATTTATATATTATATTTTATTTATATATTTATTTATTTATTTATTATATTTTATTTATTTATATTTTATTAGGTTTAATAATATTAATATTTTATATTTTTTTAATTATTAAATTGTATTAGTTATTTTTTTTAAATTAAATTAAATTTATTTTATTTTATTAATTTATATATTATATTTTATTTATATATTTATTTATTTTTTTTTTTTTTACTTAAATTTTACTTCAAATATTTTCGCATCCAGCATTTATTTATTTATATTTTATTAGGTTTAATAATATTATTATTTTATATTTTTTAATTATTTAATTTTATTAGTCATTATTTTTAATTTAATTTAATTTATTTTATTTTATTTATTTATATATTATGTTTTATTAGTTAGCTATTTAGTTAGTTATTTTTTTTTTTACTTAAATTTTACTTCAAATATTTCCGCATCCAGCATTTCTTGCCGCTGCACTTCCTTTATATGGTTCAGCTCACCGAATTACTTCCTATCGCCCTTCCTGCTTGCATTACGCCCCTCCGGCTTGCGCCTAGCATTTCAACAAGGCCAACAGCCTTTTGCCTGGAATTCTCCAAATATTTTATGCCAACTAATCTCTTAACACTCTATTGAGACATGTAAACTTTTAATAGCATTTGCTGTTCGAAGCTGCCCGGACTGGGTGCCTGCGATACTCCCCAGCTTGACTTGGCTTGGCTTGGCTTGCCTTGGCTTGTCCTGGCCTGGCCCTGTCCGGGTCTGGCTTGTCCTTAAGTTTCAGCGCTCTTTGCTTGTTTTATGGCCTGCAGCAGTTTTCGTGTTTGAACATCAAAAGTAATAAATTCATCGAACCAAAATTTTGCAGCCCAACTAATGGTAAAGTCAGGTAGGCAGCAGCGCCAAACCATTGCCATTGACTCCAACTCATCGTTGGTGTTGTTGTAGTTGTTGTTGTAATGTTTTAGGTCGCGCCTTTGCCGTGCTCAATAACTTCCGGGCGGAAGGTCGCAGCAGGAACACCATACATATATATGTATGTAGGTAGTGCCAGCTAGTCGTTCATTTAGCTGAACCGCCTGCCCATCTGTCCCGGTTCTCTGCCTGCATAGCTATTTAAATAACTGTCTTGAGTTGTTTGCGCCCTTGCATTGATTGTATTAACGGTAACAGAATTCGATGAAGGCAGTTAAGATTCTCTCTCTCTCTCTCTCTCTCTAGAAATA